CGTTTGCAACCTCCAATACGAGCAGCGCCGTGGCCACAGCTGCCCCCGGCCCAGGGACCTCGCTCGTCTCCTCCCCATCTCCCAGCCCAGCTGCTAACGAAGCCTGAACACAACGAGGGGTCGGAGCAGCAGCGTTTTGCCCAGGATGGGGCCAGAGCGGGCACCAAGCCCGCACCGGGCTCGGGGCGGGAGCGCATCGCGCTGCACCGCGCTGACCGCTGCGCTCTCTTGCAGTCCAGCTGAAGGACAGCTACGAGTCCAGCACCTTCTTCTTCCTCGTGTTTGACTTGTAAGTCCCACATGCACCTCTGCGACCAGCGTAAAGTGCGGGTGGAAACGGCCTCAATGCCCCGCGCCGGCTCTCGGCCTCCCGGCGCTGCTGCTGCTTCCCAGACGCCGCTGCTCAGGTTTCCCCTAACCTTTGACAGGGCCGTTACAGATAACCCGGGCTATTTATATTTCCTCTGGCAGCACCCAACCGGCCTCACTCCCTATTTGCATTTTACACCATTTTTTAGGGATTTTTTTGCCCAGACACCCCATGCGGGCCAGGGGGCAGCTTGCAATGGCAATGCAGCTACCCCTCTGCTTTGCCCCATGCAGGATGAAGAGGGGGGAGCTCTTTGACTACCTCACAGAGAAAGTCACGCTGAGCGAGAAGGAGACCAGGTAAGTGGGGATGGCGGCAGCCGGGGCTGCGCGCCGGGCCGGGCCAGGACACGCGCTGGCCCCGTCCGCAGGAAGATCATGCGGGCGCTGCTGGAGGTCATCGAGTACCTGCACTCCATCGACATCGTGCACCGCGACCTGAAGCCCGAGAACATCCTGCTGGACGACGACATGAACATCAAGCTGACGGACTTCGGCTTCTCCTGCCAGCTGCACGCCGATGAGAAGCTCAAAGGTGGGAGGCCGGTGGCGGCCGCTCGCGCGTGCCCAAGTTGTCCTCCCTGCCCACTCTCACGGCCATGAGGGGACCCATCAGTCCTCTTTATAACCCTTCGAGAAATTAATTAACAAGATGCGTTGAGTTGCTGCAAACGCCCCATGCGGCGCCGCTCGGGTTCGCTAACACACGTGCCCTTCCGTGCAGAGATCTGCGGCACGCCGGGCTACCTGGCGCCCGAGATCCTGCATTGCTCCATGGACGACGAGCACCAAGGGTACGGCAAGGAGGTCGACATGTAAGTGAGACGCGTCCGCGCACCGCGGCCCTTGCCGGCCTCCTGCCCTGCCGCTCGATCCCAGCGGGTTGCGGTTCAAGGCTCAGGGAGGGTGAAGTGCTGCCTGGGCCACATGAGTCCCACCAATTCACACAGCTTCTCCCACCCCTGGAAAGACAGAAAGAAAAGAAAAAAAAAACCTCCCAAGAAAGTTAAATAAGCCAAATACCTCCAACTTGCAGCTCCACAGCACCAGCTCAGCTCCAAATCCCCCAGCTCTCCCCCAAAGCAGGCAGCCCCCCTGTTCCCCATCAGCCTAAGGAGCCCCAGAACAAGCTGGGCCTCCCTGATGAGCAGCTGAGCAGGGCCGTTTGGTCCCGTTGTTCCGGGTGGGGGGACGCGGCCGCGCGCTGTCCCGTGCCGCGGGGCTGGGGAGTCGCTGCTCCCGCAGGTGGAGCACGGGGGTGATCATGTACACGCTGCTGGCCGGCTCGCCGCCCTTCTGGCACCGCAAGCAGATGCTGATGCTGCGCATGATCATGAGCGGGAACTACCAGTTCGGCTCGCCGGAGTGGGATGACCGCTCCGACACCGTCAAGGACCTGGTAGGGGCTTCCTAGGAGATACCCTGGGGGGGATGTTGCCCTTGCTGCTCCTGCGGGAGCTCGGGGCGATGCCGCAGCCCTCGGTGTGGTGCTGGGGTCCCTCACGGCGCCGCCTTCCCGCAGATCTCGCGCTTCCTCGTGGTGGACCCGCGGCAGCGCTACACGGCCAGCGAGGCGCTCGCCCACCCCTTCTTCCAGGAGTACGACGTGGAGGAGGTCCGGCACTTCAGCCCCTTCCGCAAATTCAAGGTGAGGTTGGCGTTGGCCCTGGCCCGTGTGGGAACGGCCAACAGTGGCACCGCATTTGCTGCCCTTCGGGGTTTCTTGGTGCATCCAGATTTTGCCAGTATTGAATGGCCCTTCTGTCTTCTCACTTTATGGCACATCCTAAGGATTTTTGCACAGCAAGGTTTTACAAAAGAAATATAGCCGCTAAGAAGTAGGATTAAATAAGAAAAGAGTAAAAACTCCCCCTGCCAAAGAAAAAGACTTTAAAAAGAAAAAAAATCACTTCCCAGGGGAAAGCAAAGTACAGCAAACATCCATAAAACAGAGGTATCCTCTGGTGCCGATAGAGCCTGCACTTATGTGCATCACCCATCATGCCACAAGGATGATCAGGGGCCTGGAAAATCTGCCCTATGAGGAGAGGCTGAGGGAGCTGGGCCTGTTCAGCCTGGAGAAGAGAAGGCTGAGAGGGGACCTGAGCAGTGTCTAGAAGTACCTCAAGGGAGGCAGTGAGGAGGATGGTGCTGAAAAATTTCTTACCAGTGAGGGTGCCAGAGCCCTGGAACAGGCTGCCCAGAGAGGTTGTGGAGTCTCCTTCTCTGGAGATCTTCAAACCCGCTTGGACGCAGTCCTGTGCCACGTGCTCTAGGTGACCCTGCGTGTGCAGGGAGTTGGACTAGATGATCTCTAGAGGTCCCTTCCAACCTTGAGCATTCTGTGATTCTATGTGCGGGATGAAGTGAAGGGTGAACTCGGAGCCCCCTTGTGTCACTCACCAGATCTAACAGCACAGCTATCCGCTCGGTCCCGGGAAGCGGAGGGAGCTGCTGGCGCGCGGCCGGGCCCCGCTGCCGGCTGCGAGCGGCTCCTCTGCTCCGCAGGTCATCTGCCTGACCGTGCTGGCCTCCGTGCGCATCTACTACCAGTACCGGCTCGTGAAGTCGGTGACGCGGGAGCTCGTGGTGCGGGACCCGTACGCGCTGAAGCCGCTGCGCAAGCTCATCGACGCCTGCGCCTTCAGGACCTACAAGCACTGGGTGAAGAAGGGGGAGGCGCAGAACCGGGCCGCCCTCTTCGAGAACACGTGCAAGGCCATCCTGCTGGCCCTGGCCGCCGAGGAGGAGCTCTTCTGAGCACCGGCGCCGCGCTGAGCGTACGAGGAGGGTTGGGGAGCGGGCGAGTAAAACCTTTGGAAAACAAGCAGCCATTTCTTCCGCTTTGTTTTAGAGAAAAATATCAGCAGCCCGTAGAGCTGGAACAAGCTATAGCTCCAAGTGCTTTCTGAAAAGGCAGAGATCTTGCAGCAAAGGCTCTGGGCGCCCGGCTCCGGAGCTGGCCTTGTTCTTGTTCCCAGGGAGTCACTGCAGAGCAGGGCAAGAGCAGCACCAGGAGCTGGTGTCCTCACGCACCTGTGAGGTGCTCCTCACAAGCTCCTGTGAGACTGGGTGACAGAAAGACGGAATTAGGCAACTTTCCACCAGCTGGGAACAGCCATCGCAGCGAGCCAGGAGAGCTCGCTTTCCACACGGAGATATTCCTTGCAATGGCAGACGAGGCTCTCACTAGGAGCGTCCCAAGCAGCCTCGAACTGCGGGTACAAACCTCGGTCCATGGGGAGCTGCGGAGCGGGGCCGCGCGGCTGGCGCAGGGCAGCCTGACACCAGCTGTCCCTGTCTCCTTCGCTGCCACCTCCTGGGGCTGGGCCACAGCTCTTGAACCTGCTCCTTCCCTCCGGGTGCCAGGGGACACCCCAGCTCCAACCCGCTAAGCACTTACTATGGAGCAGAGCTTACACTGAGCAGCAGCAAATTCATTGCATAGTTCACACTGACCCATGCAACTCGGGCCATTTTAGGATAAATTATTAATACTCCACAGCTGATCTATAGCTCTTACCTATGCATAATGTCAGAGAGATTTGGTTTATTGATTTGTCATCCATGTGCTTGGAAACGAAGCCAGGCTGTTTTAGGGCTAATAAAGAGACCCTGTTTTGCTTAGCCCGGGTTGCTGAGGATTTGATATGAAGCCTCATGGTGGTGGTAAGGACAGGTCTGGTGCTTCCGTTCTGGCCTCACATTTCGGTTTTCCTCAGGCTGGTTACAGGAGGGAGATGAGGAGCTGCCAGGGCGAAAGCGAGGCACCACGAAGCCCAAAAGCAGGGGTAGGCGGAGAAGCTTCTGTCTTAACACTGAGCACTGGTGGTCTCACACACATGCCCCCCTCTGTCTTGTTAAAAAAATAAAGAGAAATGCAATAGAAGAGGACGACTGGACATTAAAGACACCCCCCTCCATCTGTCATTCTTAAATCCCATGCAGTGCCCAAGTATTCCAGTGAAGAAAGGACTTTTAAGCTGAAAGTATTTGTTTTCAATTTTTACAATTGGCTAGTTTAATAAAGTTTGACTGCTGGAATTACTGTTCATCTCCACAGGAGAAAATGCCTCCAGGTCTTTCCAAGTGAACTCCTCAGAACTCAGTTCTGGTCCCACTTTGCTTTGCTTTGTGTTTCTGTATGTCAGCAGCGCAGCGGAAACTGAGGTTATCAGAGGCTGAATCTGGTGTGTTCCCCATTCTAGGATGAAAAAAAAAGATATCCAAAGTTATTGATAGATCATAATTAACACTCAAATCATTTTATGTGACCCTGCACAACAATGTTCCCCATTCTAGGATGAAAAAAAAAAAAAGATATCCAAAGTTAATGATAGATCATAGTTAACACTTAAATCATTTTATGTGACTCTGCACAACAGACTATGAACACCTTCCACAGCCTGAAGAATTCCCAGCAAAGTACTAAATACTCGATGGATTATGCACTCAATTTGAGAAGCATTTAGGGATGTATTTATAGCAGTAAAATTTTTAGCATAGTATGTTTTCCTAATTGCTTCTCAAAAATGGAGTATAATCTGGCAATCTAAAATGCCTTTTTATTTAATCAAGGGATCACAAATCACTGTGAAACAGCACTTGGGCACTGCACACACCCACCTTGTAGTAACACGGGCTTTGTGGTTCGCAGATCCATCTGCAGTGTCAATCCAAGATGCACCTCTCAAGACCTGCATTTTCTGAGCACGCTGCCTCGCTGCAAGCCCAGGAGCTACGTATTCTGAGGCCGTCCATTCCCAAGTGTTTCCTAGCAGATCATAGAGCCCTGAGACAAAGGATTGCTGTATTAGGATGATGAGAGCACATAACACAAAGACTGCAAAAGCACTTTGCCACGTGGATTTTCAATGCAATACTCCAAGTATCATTGAAAAAATGTGGTTAATGGCGAGAGCAGAAAGCCCCTATTTACAATTGGGCCTTTCACAAACCTCTCAGTTTAGATGAGTCTCATCATCTCCCGTTGCATAAAGAGAGAATGGCATCTGCCTCCCTTGAGTTTTTCAGATAAGTCATATGATATTTTTGATAGCTCACAAACAACAAAATAATTGACTGCTATTAAAAGCATAGAACGGGGTGGTTCGTTGAAGTTCATCTGGTGCACCTCAGCCAGCTTCAGTAGCAGCCATGGATGCTCCTGCAAGGCTCATTGTTACTCCCTCAAGATGCAGCTGTAATCCATCCCATCCCATATTTTAAACTCTGCTGCACCCATGGGATTTAATAATCATCGTTGAATGGATATTAGCAAGCAGATGCCAAGTCTAAAAACCAAAAGAGGGCTGTTCCACACCATAGTTGTTTTGAGGAGAGAATGCTGTCACTGGTGAAACACCGTGATAACCATCTTCAGCCGTGTCAACCCCTGGGAAACTGCCCTGTGGGGAGAAAGATCATTCTAAATAAAGACTCACCACAGAGATGATAATAAATCTTGATCTTTAAGAGAACTGTGTTGTACTTAAATAGTGGAAATAATTTTCTGTTGCAAATTAGCTCTACATAAGCTTATGTCCAAGCTAGCAGATCAACCATTTAAAGCTCTCCCAAGGGAGAGAGAATCCAATTTGCTAAAAACTTTGTCTGAATAGATCCATTCTTGAAGAAGTAAAATCACAGTCTCCCCAGGGAAAGCAGGGTGAGGCTGCTCCATTCTAAGGATGCTTTGGGTAAAGTACCAGGAGATGATTTTCAGCACTTTGCAGGTAAGTCTGTACTGCTTCGCAGTGCCATTCACAATGCTTCGACAGTCACATGAATTCTGTGACTGTGTTAAAAAACCATCATCAGAACCACTCAGACAGGACAGTTTATAGGATCTTACCTGCCACAGGTTGGTACGGTTTGGCTGGAACTTATTTCCCCAGGGATATATTCTTTCTGTCAACAAGAAAGAGAGGCAACCAGTTATTCCATGCAAGTCTGGCCAACTATTGAATTTTGGAACTTTTAAAAATGGGCTTTTACTGCTGTCCTTTTCTGCTCAGCATGGGACGCCAAGAAGAGTTATATGAGTGATATCTAGTGGTGCAAATGTCACCAGTGGGTTAGAGGGGAGAACAGGGGCCACAATGTGGAAGACACAACGTCCCATTTACAAACCATTGCTCTTACCAGGGAGTCCCATGTAGCTACTACACCGCAAGTACTCACAGGATTGCTGTATGCCAATACCATCATACAAACCTGTGAAAGGGTATTTTTATCTGACTGAAGTGGTTCAATTGGAAAAATGGATTGAGAACACAGACAAGCCACTATTTAATTGACTCTCAGAGCAAAAAGAGATTCAGTCCCCTGGATTAAACTCTGAAAACATCTCTATATGCAGACTTGAAAAGCTCAATGAGTTTGGTAAACCTAGCATGACTTGATGACTTGGTTTGGTTTAAGAAAAAAAGTAAAGATTTGTCTTACGTACGCTCTAGGCCTCCCCTAGCAGCAAATTCCCACTCTTCCTCCGTGGGAAGCCTCTTCCCTTTCCACTTGCAAAACGCCTGCGCATCATTCCAGCTCACATGCAAGACCGGGTAATCCAGCCTGTCTTTTATACCAGAGCCAGGACCTGAGGGCTGTAAAGAATGGCATTGAACAGATTATAATCGATTTTATGAACTTCTCCAAAAAAGGAAATAAAGGACAGTTTGGAGCAAAGTGGGGAACCTGCGGCAATGGCAATTGAGATGTGGTTTCTCCTCTCATTTTTATTCAATAAGTTCAGTGCTCCTAGCACAGTCTGCCTCTACCCTCAGCACACAAAGGACTCTCCATGACTGATTTTAATGTAGCAAAAGTTTCTACAATCCATTTAATTTAGCACTAAAATGATGAGGCCCACAATCATAGAGTGCTTTTGCCAATACATTTCTACTAACACTGCCAGAACTTTGAAGTGTATGGTAGGGTTAGTGGTAACATTTCATGACATTCAGAACAACTTTTGTTCTGAATTAATAAATTCAGGGAAATTAATAATATTTACTTAATAAACTTCTGTTTATCCATACCCAAATCTCCCATGTCCCAGGCTGGTCCTAGACTGCCCATCTCAACACAAAGGTGTAACCAGCCTCCTTGGAAGGGTAGAAAAGCTCTACTCACCTGTCGCCAAAAAGCTTTGTCTATAGGCAGCCACCAAGGCGCGGACTGAGAAAAGAAATGACACCAGATTAATGCTAGATTGGTGACCCCCATCCAAAGCCATGCACCCCCCAGCTATCCTATAGCAGCCATGTACAGGGAAGAAGGCTTGTTAGTCTGGAAATGGTTAAATTCTATAGTTCAATGTGCTTTAGAGTACAGAACCTAGGCTTATCCGCTTTCAAAAACAGCTCTCAGTACTTATTATTTCTGTTTTAAGATTTGATGAACAGAATTCCTTGAAATGTGCTTTACTTTCTCCCAGCGTATTGGAACATCTAATAAAAGTCAAATGTGACAGTTTGGAGAGGACGTAAACAAAAGGGGGGCTTAAAGCAGGACGCACTTAGTCCTGCTATTGTCAAAAGCAAAACAACCCAGGACAAACTGAAAAGGCCAGGGTGTTAAGGGAATGCTGTCTCCATCATCATCATTGAAAATCATCCCCTTGGGGTGTAGCCCATCTGTTAAAACCTTTCAGGTTTTAAGGTTCCAGGTTGGATTTACCTCCAGTTTTTGGGTGACTTTTTTTTTCAGCTCTTCAGATACGAAATCCTCAAAGACAAAGCTCCAGCCAAATGCTTCTGCTTCAGTTTTGTATTTCTTTTCTCTAACAAACTCCCTGGCATAGATATAATATGCTCAAGTGTCTGGGTAAGAGTTCTTCAAGAGTAACGCTACCAAATACAGCAATTTACACATGCAACAGAGTTAGAGCAAGGCAAACACAGAACTGCAGTTACCATGAATCTGTTCACAGTCCCAGTTCCTCCCTCATACAATGAGCTTAATAGATTTTTAAAGATAAAATTGGTCTGATTTGTACCTGTTCGCAAATCTGCTTGTCAGTTTTTATATTACTTTTTATGGGTAAACTAATCTTACACTTTTATCTTTACAAACTGTTAACAATTGCATAGATCAAAAATTCCTTAAAGCCACTAAAAGCTACATTTACTACTACAGATGGATGTGCTCCCAAAACATAGCAAATCCCCTATGCTGTTGATACCTGCCCTACTTCTGTCCCATTTTCTTCCTCATAGACTTTTTTTTTTTTTTTTTTAATTCCAAGGCAGCTTTTAGATGCTGAAACCAGCCCAGGAACCAACAGCTTCAACACCCACATCCTTCCAGCAACCACCTGGGCTATTGCAACTCTGCAAACCGAGCAAATCGAAGCCTTTGATCTTACCTGAAATCCCTGTTTGTGATGGGGTATTTGTCAATAGCAAATGGCTTCACAGTCACCTCTCTGACTGGCCCTTCTTCATTTTTATTCTCCTGGGAACTGGATCCCATTTGAAACTTCCCACCAGACAGCTGCACCATGTCCTCATTCTTTCCAAAAGCTAGAAAGGGAGTAGCTTAGTATGAAAATGGTCATTTTTAAACATAAAAGCACAAGACAGCACACCTTCTCTGCCAAACGGCCATTTTACACACTAGGAAAAGGATGCTTTACAGTAGTTCATAACAATGTTTAGTATTTATATAGATATCTATATTTGAAAACAGCCTTTATTATAAGGTATTTTCAGTTTCTCTCTTGGAAGAATAACAGCTCCAAGCAGACCAAATCAACAAGACAATTCCTTCAAATAAATGGTTTTCTACAACTGGGAATAATAAAAAAAAAATGAACAGGGAGAAGCAAAACTAGTGTTAAAGCCCTCCTGCAACAAGGTTGAAGAACCCCAGCAGAAATAGCAGAAAAAGCAGCACGAGCTCGGGCTCACCTTGCAGGGCTCGGCTGGGGTCTAACAGGCAGCAACAAAGCACAAGCGCCAGCTGCATCTTCCCGGGAGCAAATCCGGGCGGCATCGGGAACAGGAGCCTGCGAGAAGCAAAAGGAGTTAAGGAGGAGCTGCAGGGGTTTGACCCAGAAGAGCTCTTGCTGCATGCAAGTGTTTCCGGGCGCTGCGCTGGGGAATGCAGCAAAGCCCTTCCCCTTCCTGCGCTGCTGGGCTTAGTCAGCGCCAGAGAAACTAAACGTCCCTTTGACAAAAGCCTTGGAAAATAGCCCCAATTCCAAAAGGAGAAACACATATGCCCCTTTGCCCTCTCACGCTGTCCCAGGCTGCTTTTTGGAGCACCCTTTTGAGGCAGGTTTTATGGTTCTTTCTCTATAGTAAGAAACTGCTTGGAAATATCTGAGATAAAGTGTGCACGTGGAGATGAATTTGCTTTTAGCTGCATTCCCGAGTGTGAAAACACAAGTGTGTTAATGCAGACACAGACCCCGCACTGAAGTTCAGCTACCTCTTGTGGTAACCTTGAATACAAGGAGGTCTTTACTGTGCTATTTGCAGCTTTTTAAACATGCCTACTTTAACCCTTTTAAAGCAAATAAACTGTTTTGAGTTGCAAGAAGCAAGCACAAAACCATGAAATAATTAGTTTAATCCAATAGGGGAAAAATTCCGGATCCAAATCTTGCCCTCTGGAAGCATGCTGTTACTCAAGGACATCAGAAAAGGCAGTATTCCATGAGAATGGGAACTCTGCCATGTTGAGTTTGGAATCTACAATGAAATCCCCAATTCACAACAGAGCCGGAAAACATCATCAAGCCCTGGACTCCACCACTGTTCACTAAGGTGATAATGAGAATACTAAGGACCAGACCTAAGGAATGCAGCGTATTAAATAACTGACACAAGTAAAGCACAGAACATAACAGTTTATTGGGTAAAAAGGACAGCAGCTTCAGCTGTATACTGCAGTGAAATTAAGAATAAATAATTGATTTTAGAATCAAACATTTGAGTTGTTGCCAATATTTTGAATGGCCATGTTAACCAAAGGGTGCTTCTAGTTACAGCTGTGAAATTTCCGTTGCTGCGAAAATCCACGAGAGCTAAGAGAAGGCTGCTTTGAGGTCGACTTCTTCAGTTATTCCTTGATGACCACCGCTGATGGAGGCAGATCCACTTCAGCCTTTAAGGGATGACATCCCAGCTCGCATAATTTCATCAACCAAGAGAATATTGCTAGCAATCACCGTGCTAGAAATATTAAATAAAGAGTGTTAGAACATCTTTCAATACAGTTCACCAAAACAAAAAAACAAAACAAAACAAAAACTTGATCCCAAATTACTTCAGTTGTGATGATCTAACTCCCACTACAATTTAAAATGAAGTTACTATAAAAATTACCATGAATGAAGCAGTTGCTTTTTAACATTGTAATTATCCCAAATCCCAGCCGCTGCAGCTACCATTGGTTCACCTGGGAAAGAGACAAAATAATCTTTAGTAATCACTAACTGGTTTCCTTCACTCAAACTATGACATTCTGCTAACATCTCATGTTACTTGCTACAAACATGAAGTCTTACTCTGTGTGCTTCACCTTCACAGAAAGCTTTAGCAGAATGATGATACATATTTTACAGTACACAAAGACTGACTGCAGCAGTAGCTCATCATGCTCAAGTATTTTGCTTTTTCACACAGAAAAACTGTAACTGCAACATTATGTTTCAATGAGAGAAGCATGAGGTTCTTGCTGAATAGCTACCAAATGATTACATGAAGCTGAACCAGGCAGATTTGTGTGCTTCAAACAACCTTTGTGTCACTCAGAAGCATTTTTTTAAGATTTCAGAGTTACTACACCAAGCTACTTTTACTAAAGCATCATGTATTTTAGAAAGGTTCTTACCAGTATTCAGATCAACTCCAGTAAGTTGCCCTGATTCTGCATGTTCTGTCTGAACCTTCACCAGAGTTTCTTGGGGATCATAACCAGAGTTCTGAGCGAGAACCTTGGAGAGAACAAAGACATCATTTCAGATATAACAGCGTGAAGCAGATTGCCACAAAGGTGTCTTTTAGAGGGCTTGCAAGCCACTTCTTCCAGGAGTTCCTTATACCTTAGGAATGATGAGAAGAGCATCAGCAAATGCTTGAACTCCAAGCTGGGCTCTTCCTTTGACATTAGGTTTATGCTTAACAAGAGCATTAGCTACTGCCACTTCTAGCGCACCTGCTCCTGGAACCACACACCCTGTAAGAAAAAAACATTACTGAGAAACTATACAACTTGTACTGTAGTTGGATCCCTTCCCTTACAATATACCAGTATTAAAGAGTATTCACTTTACATTGAAATATATTTAGCTTGATGCACAACTGCATCAGCTATCAGTCAGGCCAACACAAATTCAGCCATTTTGAGATGAATCTCGACAGAACTCTTAAGTCCTTAACACGGAAAAGTGAGTACAGACTTACCATCCTCAATAGCATTTTTAACAGCACGTAGACCATCTCTAACTGCATCCTTGATTTGTGTCAGTGTGTGCTTATTTGGTCCCCTGATCAGCAAGGTAACGGAGCGAGGGTTGTCACATTTCTCAATAAAAGTGTATTTCTCTTCACCCTACAGAGTCATGCACTTTGTGTCATACATTTGGTTTATCAACACATACATATATACACATATATATAAAAAAAACTCACAAAAGGAACACATTTTCAGATTCAGCTCTGAAGTAACAAGTTTTCAGGAAATGATGTGAAACTAGGTATGTGCTTTTCTTTGCCAACACAAGGTTATGCACATTAAGAGCCTAAGAGCATCTAACAGAACTGTATTTCTGTCTTCTCAGCCCAACAGATTTTAAAACCTAAAATTTTCCTATTGTTATTTCCATGTTATGACAAGAGCAAATATCCAGGCAGATATTTGCATCTTGCATCTTTGCACCATCTGCAGAGGTGTATTTAGCTCAGACACACTTACCAATGTATACTCATAGATGAGCCCTGCGTGTCCCAGACATTCTGGGGTGAGATCCTCTACAGAGTTCATGGCAGTACCACCACATGCAAGGGTCAATCTGAAAGCAAGTTAACAAGTTAACATTTACATTTACAAGTTAACATTTGTTTTAAACTCAGCAACTTGATTTTGCTTAAGTGGCCTGTTATTCATAACTATTTCAGCACACAAGGTACGGTACTTGTTACATTTGGATCTAGACTACCTGGTATTACTCTAGTAAGAGTCAATGGATTGAAGTAGATTCTTAAATCAGTGTGATTCCTTAAAGATGGCGTCAAGCCAGATCTGATTAACTGCATGAGTTTAGAACAAGATATTACTCCTTCTCCAAAGGAACTGACCTTTCCATGTTCCTCCTTTTAGCTCTGCGCAAAGCAACTATTCCTTCTTTTGCAAGTGCATCCAAGGAAAATGGGTCAATTCCCTAGAAATAAAGCAAGGGACTATCAGAAAAAGAAAACACTGAGAAACATTCGCCCAGTGTGAAACTAATGGGTAAATTATCCCTAGATGCTACAAAAAACAGCAACAGAAGCCTCAAAATGCAACCTCCCTCTTAAACTAGAATAGAAACTACATAATATATAAGTACATCAGCCCGAATTATTTTTTTTAATCAGAACAGCACAGAAATGAATCTAACAGAATGCAGCTTGCCAACACCTCATTTGGCCAACACCAAATTCATTTTCTAGTTAGTTACTGCACCTATTCATCTTACCTTCTGGTTGATCACAACAAATCCTTTATCTGAATCACCACAGACTCTCTTTTTCAAGTCTATGATTTTTTTCACTCTGTCTTCAATGAATTTTCTTTCTGCTTTTACAAGCTTCTCTCTTTCTTCTGCACTTTTATAGAAGAATCCAGAGTTCACCTCTCTGAAGGGAGGGGACAATCAAAAGGGTAAACAATAAATAATTGTCCTCTATGCTGTAGAAATAAACTTAAAAAAAAAGATTAAGGACTGCCTAAGGAAGTCTTTCAGTAAGATTTTAACATATTATATTCCATTATCCCTTCTATACTACCTGCCTTGTTCTAGAAGAGATTCCAGGTAGTCTTCCAACACTTTTTTTCTTTTTTTTTTTTTTTTAAAGACAGGAGTATGTTCTGCTCCAGACCTTTCTGCTGTATACTTACGTTTTCTCATATTCTAGAGATACATTGCAAGTAAGAACATAAACATCTTCCACTCGTTTCTTCATGTCAGGATGGCGAGCACCATGGTCCAAAACGAGCCCCCTGATCAGCCTGAGAAAGTAAAAAAACATTTTCTATGTCAATATAGAGAAAATATGCCTTTCATGAAAGTACAAACTGACGGTCCAACTAGTCCAGCATGAACTGCCCATATGCTCAGGCTAGAGGTAAACAAAAAGTCGTGTATCCCACTTTCACAGGCATGCCCATTTCCAAACAAAATGCATACCAATCTGTGTGTGAAAAGGGAACATGTTCTTGCATAGTGTCTGACTGCATTAGCTACTGGAAAAAGCTAATGCAGAATTCGTCCATGCCACTGAGGTACATTTAAAAACCTACAGACTTTTCAACTAAATTAACTATAAACCCATTTTCATTTG